TTGGGGCACACGTACACAATTCACTCGGGATCTCTGCCTTGGGAGACAGGATAAAATCTTTCCCCTCTCACAAGCAGAAAGCTAATTTTTGAAGTTTTATCCCCTGAAAAGTTTTCTCCGGAACACTGAAACCCAAAGGGACACTTCTTTGTTAGAAACTAAACCCCTCGGGGCCACTTTTCCATTCCTTATGGCAGAAGAACTCATTAAATTGAGGAAACGATGAATCTTCCCTGATTAACTGTCATCACCAGCGATGTAAAATTTTGTAAACCTTACGAGAAATTCAACCGCTTATTGAAATGTAATCCGCTTTTTTTTTTAAATGTCTGTGTATATATTAAAGTATTGCATTTTTTCCCTCTGGGTATTCTTAATTAACCAGAATTAGCCATAGACCTCTGCACTGCATTAAAGTAATTTCCCAGGAATTATTCCTATCTGTGTTAATGTAACTTCATTAGTAGCCAATGGATAAAGCTTTAATTCTCATGATTATTTTTTTTTCAAACCAGTTTTATTGGGACTGCTGACCAGGACTTTCAATAAATTAACCCGGGCAAAGAATCCCCAGGGATCTGGATCGTTCTTGATTTAATCGGCCAGGGAAATGAGAAGAATATTTCATTCCTGGCAATATCTGGGACTTAAACTAGGGTGCCAGGTTGTCTGGAAGGGCTCCACGCTGCCCTGGGAAGCTTTCAATGCCTGGAAACAGTTGAAAACAATGGTTTCCGATACAGGAACTCAAATTGTGACATCAGCTGGGTATAAATTGAGGGCAAATCTTAGGCTGAGGTACAGTTGGTATTTTATAGCATCGATCTGGGCCTGTGAGTGAGAGATCCTGAGACAGATCTGTGCAAGTCCCAAATCACTTTAAGGAAGTTTGGAGAAGTTAGTTATCCTGTCTCCCTGTCATGCTGTATAATTTTATTGATCGATTGATCACCTGATCAGTCCTTCAGGATCTCTGTTGAAAAAGTTGAACCAGGAGATATATGAGATTTTTCTCTGGCAGTCCTTGATGTTCTTGGTGGCTTTCTTGCAACGTTTCATTACCAAAGTAGGTAACATCATCCGCGCAACATCAGATTTTTCTCTGTGCACAGCTCTAGAGAGTCACTGCCATTCAGAGTACAAAGATGATTAGGAGACTGGAGGCTAAAACACACGAAGGACGGTTGCAGGAATTGGGCATGCCTAGTTTAATGAAAAGAAGGACTAAGGGTGACATGATAGAAGTCTTCCAATATCTAAGGGGTTGCCACAAAGAAGAGGGGGTCCACCTCTTCTCCAAAGGCACCTGAAGGCAGGACAAGAAGCAACGGATGGAAACTAATCAAGGAGAGATTCAACTTAGAACTAAGGGGAAATTTCCTGGTAGTGAGAACAATAAACCAGTGGAACAACTTATCTCCAGAAGTTGTGGATGTTCCATTGCTGGAGGTTTTTAAGAAGAGACTGGACAGCCATTTGTCTGAAACGGCATAGGGTCTCCTGCTTGAAAAAAGGAGTTGGATTAGAAGACCTCCGAGGTCTGTTAAAAATAGGCAATTCTAAACTTGATGGACAAAATAATCTGGAAGAGCTGAGTCTGATCCAGGTGGGAACCAAGAGTTTTGTGGCCATTATGTAAACAGATTGTAACCTTCCAACTTCAAGTCTTCAAGTGTTCCACCGAAGAGCCATTAATTTGGAAGAAGGAAGCCAGGAGTCTAAACCTTTGGAAACATATGGCATCTTTGCTTTAGTGGGAAATCTACTGTGCCATATGGCTGGATCCTGACCTACAGTCAAGATTGTAATCTGGCCAAATCATCTGTGGGCCTCCTGCCAGGAGAAAAGATGAAAAGTCAGGCTAAGCTGCCATGATTTATTGCTCAATCAACGAAAGCCCGACATAATCTGATCACTTAAGAGGCAGCTATTTCCTTAGCTCCTAGAATTAAGAATTTAGTTTTTAGAATTAAAGAAGCCTGGCAGATGTTTGGATTTTTTGAATATGCAGACTTGGCTGGTTTGGGTTGGATCCAGCCAACGGCTTCTATTTTGACTTGAAGGTTAGCCAAAAGGAAAAAAGAGGAGAGAGGGAAAAAAAAAACCTAGAGAGAGTGGAGGAATGGCCAAAATTGAAAATTCGGCAAGCCATCTAACCCAGGGCTTTTCAACCTTTTCACCCATTGTACCACTTTTAGGATATGGCAACATCCGAGGACCACCAGTCGCCTAGCAAAGTGTCAAAAACTTGATGACGAAAAAAAAAAGGAAAAAAGTAATAAAGTACAGGTAGTCCTCGACTTACAACGGTTCGCTCAGTGACTGTTCGAAGTTATAATGGCACTGAAAAAAGTCCCCCCCCCAAGCCACAGCCGAGCAAGACACCTGCCTGCCCACCTGGCCGCGCTCTTCCTCCTGTCCGAGGTTTTCATTGTTGTGAGCATTTCTGTTGAGGATTGGCAGCGGGGGTGGGGTGGGGGGTGTTTGATTTTTATTCCCCCCGTCTGCTGGGTGGTTGCAGCAGGTTGTGGTCACTTCACATGACCCTGGGACACTGTGACCGTCGTAAATATGAATCGGTTGCCAAGCATCTGAATGTAAATCACAAGACCCTGGAGATGCTGCAACATTCCAGCTGATCGGCGCTTCTTCTGGGCTCAGCAGAAGCACCAGGATCAGCGCCGAGCTCCAGCTGGAGCCTGGTGCTGATCCTGGCGCTTCCACTGAGCCCTGACAGCCCCGAAGAAGCGCCGATCAGCTGGAAAGCGGCACTGATCCTGGCGCTTCCGCTGAGCCCTGACAGCCCTGCAGCTCCAGCCGTCTCTCGCTCAGGCTTGTGCGGTGCTGCGACCGGTTCAGCTCATTCCCCTCTCCCGCTACCACTTTTCTAGGATGGTGGCGTACCACCTGCCAGGTGCCAATGTACCACAGGTGGTACCCGTTCCACTGGTTGCAAAGCCCTGATCTAACCTGCAAAGGGAATTTAATGGAGCAAACGTTGCAGAGGAAATACTTTGAAGTTCCTTCGGAAAAAGATCTTATTTGATGGGGGGGAAGCAGCAGTTTCGTAATCTACCATTGTTTTTCCAGATTGAACTGAAGGTTTTTTTTGGGGGGGGGAGGAATTGATCACAAGCAGTCCCCGGCTTAACGACCAATTTTTACGACCTTTTTGCCAGGGTTGTTAAGCGAATCACTGCGGTTGTTAAGTAAATCATGCAAATCTGGCTTTCCCTGTTGACTTTGCTTGGGGGGGAAGCCAGCTGGTTGCAAAGGTTGATCACGTGATCCCGGGACGTCGCAACCGTCATAAGTATATGCCGGTGGCTAAGCGTCCTAATTCTGATCACGTGACTGTGGAGATGCTGCAACGTTTGTTAAGTGTGAGGACTAGTCGTAAGTCACTTTTTTCAGTGCTGTTGTAACAGAACAGTCACTAAAGGCACTAAAGCACCAAGGCGCCTCTGGGTTGAAAGGATTAGCCCAGCGGTTCTCAACCTGTGGGTCGGGACCCCATTTGGGGTCGATCGACCATTTCATGGGGGTCGCCAAGCAAGGCTGTCCGCCATTTTTTTTGTCCACCATTTTTTTCCCCCTTTTCCGGCGGGTGCCTTACCTCCCTTGGGCTGGGCCAGCTGGTGGTCGGCCTGCTCCGTCTCTGCCGCTTGCCAGCTACGCCTCGGCCGGCACAGGGGGCGGAACCACGCATGTGTGGCGCTCCCGGGCAGGGAAAGTCCTCGACTTACGACCGGTTGGGTAGTCCTCGACTTACGACCGGTTTAGTCCTCGACCTACGACCGGTTTAGTCCTCGACTTATGACCGGTTGGGGTCGCGGCATTAAAAAGGTTGAGAACCACTGGATTAGCCGGTGATGTCACCGTTGCCCAGGGAACACCCAGTTGGGGGCTCCTTTCAGGTCCCCGGCAGGAGCTGGAGCAAAGGACGGGAACTCAACCCTGCCGCACAACAGCGCTTGGGTCTCAAACGTGGCCTTGCTAACCTCCTGCCCAGTGTTCCAACTACTCTAGCCACTCCCAAAGACGCTTTTTCAGGACTTTCTTGTTTTCCTTTGAAGATATTTCACTTCTCATCCAAGAAGCTTCTACAGCTTTTGAGTGGATGGCGGGGAATGGAAGGATTTATACTCCTTGCAGACAGAGCTGGCCATTTGCATTCTTTTAGGGAGTCGTTGAGGCCACTTGGAGGGTCACCTGAGTGGTGCAAAATGGGCATGGAGCTTCCTTGGAACTGCTGAAAGGACTGTGTTGCAGACTGGAGAGAGTTGATGTCCAGCTCTCTGCAAGGAGTATAAATCCTTCCATTCCCCACCATCCGGTCAGAGCTGAAGAAGCTTCTTGGATGAGAAGCGAAACGTCTTCAAAGAAAAACAAGCAAGTCCAGTTGCCTCGAGAAAAAGCAGCTTTGGGACAACCAGGACCTGGAGGACAGAGAATCTCCACAGACACTCCAGACACGGTGCTCCGGTTGCTAAAGGAATGGTTGTAACTCAGTATTAAGTACTGAACGGCTTCACTCTCAAACTAAACACACACACAGAGGCAAAACAAGCCTTGGCAGAGCAGTGGCATTGATTAGATTCATAAAACGTTTTGCTGATTGGAAATCCAGTGCTTTCCACAGAAAAGGCCCACTTTCCGGGGCAGATGGCCCTGCTGTCCCCGTGCTGCAGATTTTATTTATTTCATTTCATTTCGTTTATTAAATTTGTTTGCCACCCGTCTCGCCGACGAGGCGACTCTGGGTGGCTTCCAGTGTTAAATCACTAGGCTTGATTGCCCCAACCGTTGAATATTGATTTCCTGTTAGGTGCTGTGCAAATTGTTTACCATTGCTCGGGATGCGGCTTTAAAAACAGCTGTTTATAGTGATGTATTTCAAAATGATGGATTTGACGCGTTGGCTTACACGGGCCATTTACTCGGCTACCGTTAGGCAGTTGGGATGCTTTTATTGGCTTTGTTTTATTCTCTTTTTCCAGGGTCGCCACGTGAAAACAGGGCAGCTTGCAGCAATCAAGGTTATGAATGTGACCGAGGTGAGCACAGACAAGAGTTGGTTTGGCCGGGAAAAAATAAAGAATGGGGTTCCCCAAAACACCTACCTGGAGACGAGGTGTCAGAGCGTGCACAGTCTTATTGCGTGAGATAACCCAGGAGTGAACACAGTAAACAGTGGTCTATAATAAATGGTGGTTTATCTTACACTATCTATAATATCATACACCAGGAACAATATACATACATGTGCTCATACAGCAGGATCCAACAAACCAGCAGAATAAAACTTGTCTTCCTGCTTATTTCGGGGTGATTATCTGTTTCCAGAGACAGGACATAGATTTCTTGTTGGCTTCCTCTACCCTTGCTGCGTTTTCTTAACATCTTGGTGCTCACCAACCTGGTTCTCTTTCCTCTTTAGAATCTAGGGCAGTGTTGCAATGCTGAGACAAAGAGAAGCTGTAGGTTCCATTTCTGTTTTTTTGGGTCTCCGTTCCCCATTTTTATTTTATTTTTAGAAAGGAAATAGATTTTAACGACCGCTATCCCGCTTTGAAAGCATCCAGGAACTGGGGGGATCTAAACTGAGCAAGCTTCAGATTTTTTGCCTTTGCAAGCAAGCAGAGGTTCCTAAAATGTGTTTGCTGTGTTCTTCCAAGGAGACTGGCACCATTTCTCTTCAGCTGCTGCTTTGGGTCCCTTTTCATCTCCATCTTTGATCTGCTGAGCTGCTTCATCGTGAGCTGCTCAGGCAGCAAAATGCGAGGGTGGTCACTGCGGGATAATCAGCCCATCTGTCAGGCAGACCTCTGTCAGTAGAGCGCTTCCGGGAGGGGTGGAGAGAACTTTCCAGCTGCAGCGCCCGGATTCTTGAAATCTGACGGAGCAAAGTGGACAGGGCGCTTCTCGGCAAGGTGGAAACTTGGGGGGCTTTCTTTGGATCCAGGGGAAATGGTTGATGATAGGAGCAGAGAAGGCTGGCCTGGTGCCCCAGCTTGATGCCAATCAAGCATGCAGGGTTGAGTAGAAATAACGCGAAGGAAGGCAAATATAACACAGTCAGTTAGAGAGAATTTCCCTGAGGATGGGCTCCAGCAGGTGTCCAAAAGTTCGGAAGACTCTAAACCTCTGGTCTCACTGACTGACCCGGACTGGCTCCTGCAACTATAAATTTCATACAGTCTGGAATATTGGACATTCCAGATGCTTATAAGCGCCCTGTGCATCAAGACTACCCGCCACTTTCTGGCAGGGAGCTGAATTTGTAGGAAGGAGGAGGAGGAGGAGGAGGAGGAGGAGGAGGAGGAGGCCTATGAGGTCCTTGTGCTCTCTGAGCTTGTTTGTTTTCTTGCACATGTTTCATTGCCAAACTAAACAACATCATCAGTGCTAGAATGGAGTGGAGTGTGCAGGGAGGAGGAGGAGGAGGAGGAGGAGGAGGAGGGCAACTGTAGGGTCCTTGGTGCTCTCTGAGCTTGGTGGTTTTCTTGCAGTCGTTTTATTACCAAACTAGGGAACATCCTCAGCACTAAAAGGGAGTGGGGTGTGTGGAGGAGGAGGAGGAGGAGGAGGAGGAGAAGAAGAAGAAGGAGGAAGACATTTAGTTCCCTTTTCATTGAGGTTAAAATGAGATTAATTTAATATTGTTAATATCATTGTCTCCATGGCTCAGTAAGGTCTGCATTCTGTCCCACTAAGAATATATTCATGACAGTTTATCAAAACCCTGGTAGATGCACCAGAGGCAGCCCTGTGGTTGAAGATTGGATGTTCCTGTTCTAGGCTACAGTACAATCTTATCTCCCAGGACCATCCTGGACCCCCCCTCATTTTATTTCCAGATGCTCTGTCTCTCCTCAAAGAGATAACCTGCAACTTCAGATTATGCCTCTTAATTTTATCCCTTGACTGTGTCTTAGTATGGAGAACCTCACCACATGACATCTATTTTCACTAGCTCTTAGCTGAACTTGTGGACTGAATCTGAAATCAAGGCAGGGCACGATCTCTCCTGGATTTGGAGGATCTGTTGTTCAATGCAGCAGATCCCTCTTTAATCTCCAGCTGAGCTTGGAATAAGAGTATTCAGTAGAAGTCAATACCCTGATTGTTTTGCCTTGGTATCTTTCCATGCATCCTACCTAGTGAACAGTGTGGAACTTATTTTTTTTTTTTAAGTGCAATCTGCTGCCTATTCTGCAACACCGAGGCTCAATTTGCACCGATTCAGTAATAAAACAATTCGCACCAGATGATAAATGAGCTGTTTAGACTCAGTTTTGACATGCATATTATTTCTATGGGTTGAAAAGAAAAACAAGGCTAATCCAACATTTGGCATTCTAGGGTGTCCTTTGCATATTCATGGGTAGTGAATTTCAGAATAATTTACACCTGTGGGCACCATCCATCGGATCTCAACAGTTTGGTACGTCGAGCAGCTGATGTCTCCTTCATGTGTCAGAGGTCTTTATGTCACCAGACTAATATCTGCCCAGCGTTTTGGTTGCGCCAAGATAAGAGCACACAAAGATGAGCAGAAAGTGGCTTAAACTTCCTTTGATCTCAAGCTAAGAGAATTCGGGAGAAGGTCCCAAGATTCTGGCACCTGTATTTTCATATCCTGTATTTTTGTTCATTTTAGGATGAGGAGGAAGAAATCAAACTGGAAATTAATATGCTGAAAAAGTATTCTCACCATCGCAACATTGCAACCTATTATGGTGCTTTTGTCAAGAAGAGTCCAGCAGGTCTGGATGATCAGCTGTGGGTAGGTCTCTCCTTCTCTTTTTCTTCTCTTTATACACTTCTTTGGAAATTTAGATACTCGGTTCCTGTTTAGGAACTAATTGGTTCTTGGATTGGTTCCCCTCCCTCCCTGCCTCTCTCTCTCTCTCTCCCTCCCTCCCTCCCTCTCTCTCTCTCTCTCTCTC